TGCTTGCTAAAAATGATGCCTTTCTGTGATAACATTTAACAGATGTGTTTTGAATGCTTGCTCAGCAGCCTGGGGCTGACAGCAATAACACAGTTCCTTCTGGATACTAAATGGAACCATATGGATTGCTGCAGATATCTTTTTCATACATGGCATATGCCAGATACGGAGAGATGAATCCTAACAGAGGTTAGGGAAAGACTTCCCTGCTCCCTGATAGTCTCACTCCAGGTTCTTTGGCTTCAAAACCAGTAGTTTATGAATTGTAAGCTTGAACCCACTGGCATCAAATCTTATCCAGAGAAGATGGAACAAACATATCCAAGAGCAGAAAAGGAGGAAAGAATTGCTCCTTCACCTTAATTGGAAATAATCTCTGTATTTATTTCCCAAATAGCTCAACTGCTCTCAGTAGTGGTTGTGAAGTACTGTATATGCTCTATGGCATTAAGTTTTTGTGCCCCTTGGCACAGATAGCTTTTCATTAGAACTTTATTTCACCCCCTTCAATTAGCTCTTACTAGTCTAATGTTTGTTACGATAGAGCAAAAACCATCCTAGTGACAATCTACATAACCAAGGAGACCAAGAAGGCCCCAGACCTGCGTGGAATTAAAGTGTGGGGAGTAATCTCCCTCAGAGCCACTGCTCTAATGGAGAGTGCTTGAATTTTGTCCGCTTGGGATTCAGCTCTCTTCCTGATTCCCTCTGAGATGAATGTGGTATTGAAGGGAGAGTACTTATTTTCTTCCTTATGTTCATTGCTGCTGCATTCAGCATCTTCTTCTGTCCTTCCCAGTGCACAGAGGAGGAAAAACAGGCAAAAGTATCTGCCTGGGGAAAAGCTGAGAGAGGTGGATTGCTGGACTATGGCTGGTGGAACCAGACTAATTGAACTCTGACTGAAGCACAGGTACAATCAATTAGCAAATGGGAAGGAGAGGCAGAGAATCCAGGGACCGCACCCTATGAACCCCCCTCCCCTTGCAAAAATACCTCCCAAGAGGATGACAAGCAGCTGGCTGAAAACTGGCTAATGACCCCTATACTCCTGTGGCCCAGAAGCTGTCTAGTGGTTGTGCTGTCACTCAGAGTGACCTCCATCATGTGTTTTTGCTCTCTCTTCCTAAGACAAAGGGGAAAGGCTAAAGGGTTGATGTTCCTTTTCATTTATTCTAGGCAGGCTGGACTAGTTGTTCTCTCTGTCAAGTCCACACACCTGCTTGGTTTCCAAGACAGCCATGTTAAAAGACTTAAACAGGGACCTAAAACAGATGCACCCACTAGATTATTCTCCCTTTGCTCACGGATTGTGATCCTTTTGCAGACTCCACCTTATAGCCTTATGCCAGACTAAAAACTATGTTCTTTTCTAAGGAGGTTGAAAACTCTGAGGCAGCTTGACTTGCAACAGCTAAACCATCCAATTTGTCTACACCAGAGAGAAAAATCACCTTCAGAACTGAGATAACAACAAAAATCAACTGATTAGCCAGCCTATATTAAACAAGGAAGCTATTCATAGAACTGATGCATAATCCACATTGCTGGCTCTTTTAGATCTCTCTCAACTGGCACATAGCTTGGATTTCTTCTTTTACCAACATGAGCTACTTATTAAAATGCTCTGCATCATGAAAGCATGTAGTACTGCTATGGAAACACCAACACCAGTAAGGGCATGGGTGGTGGTAGGTGTGGGACTTGAGACATTACAGAAATTGCCAGTATTTGGCCTCCTGTGTTCAGCAATGGGAGGATCAATTTGGAAGGTGTGGTAAATGCTGCATGGACTGGTGCACAAACAAACACTCTGGATGCATCTATTTATAGCTGTGTGTACGTGTGTGTCTGCACATTTGTAACAACTTCTGAAATGTAACAGGATCAAAAGGATCTTGCTTCCGCTTTCTGATCTTTAGATACTAAAGATCTACACAGAGGGACTGAGCGAAACAATAACTAGAATGAGAAATAGATTCCAGACCGTCCTTACGACTCATTAGTTCTGCTGCAGTAAGACCTGGGGTCTGAGACAAGGACCAGAGCCCCTTTGCACTAAAAGGGATGTTCCTTAGAGAAACTGAGCGGCCTCACCACTCAGGAAATGGAAAGCTCAGGACCTTGAAGAGCTGGACCCACAAGTAGCAGCACCTCAATGTCCAACATGAGCAAGCAAATGTTAATGGCATAAACCATCTCTCTCCTGCTGGAGGAGGAGATACCTAATTGCTGCAGGTAATGACAGAGCACTGTGCTGGAAAATACATGTTTAATAAAATATCTCTGTGCAGCAATAATGAGGTGCTAGACCACAGAATGAAAACAGTGGGCCAAATCCTAAGGGTGCCACATGGGAGCTCCAGATACTCAGCACTGCCTCAGGACTTTGCTCCATGTTGTGAATTATTATTCACTCACTGGTCGGTGCTGCTTTTCTCTCTGTTCACATGGACAAAGGCTGGAGGAAGTGTGGACTGTTCTTGGCTCCAGCAGACAGGACCGATATTCAGAGGAGGGCGGGCCAAGGAGCAGGCCAGTTACCCAGATGGCAGCGAAATAACTCTGAACATCCTGCTGGCTGCCACATGTCAAGTCTCAGTGGTACAGCCTAGTAGCAGAGGACTCAGCTGATGGTCTTGGCACTGTGAGTCTGGTGCCAGCTCACTCTCCTTTGGAAAGCCCCTGCCTACCTGGCTGTTGTGTTTATGTTAACCTCATTCCCTCATCTGATTCACAACCTTGGTCGGAGAAACCCAGGCAGTCTCACACGGCTGGGCAGGGAGAGGCACGTCTCAATATATGTTCTCACATAGCCACGAGTGTACGTGATGTTCTGCTACCAAAATAGTAGCTGAATGGCCTCGCAGAATAACACAGTGTTTTTGCTTCGAGGGTTTGTTTTCAGAGCACTAGGGCAATATGCAAAGTATTTTAGAATGAGAGACTGACCAAAGAGATGAGACCTAACAGCCTCGCAGATTGGGTGGGAGGGGGTCTGACATCGCCAATGGATACACAAACACCTCTGTATCGCCTGTCTCCAGTCACTCAGTTCACCACAGCTAAAGTTCTTCCCTTGGTCCACTCTCCAATCACATCCGTCTGTTCTGTATTTGTGTGCTCAGTTTCATGCACATGCATGCGCACTCTTCCTTACTGAGACCATCCCACCAGCTTCCTGACTAATTCCACATCAAATTTAAACTCTTCTTCCCTTTACAAGCTCGGCACAATGCCGGCCCTAGCCCATACTCTTGCCCCGTAAAAATGCTACTCGTCTTGCAAGATGAGTTCTAATAAACAAAGCGGTAAACACCCAGTTTGCCATCAGACAACTTGGAGGTAAACAGACTGCTTGAACTTTTATTTGAGCCTAATTTGCATAAAATGAACTTTTTTACCCAGGGGAACCTATTGCATCTTTTTATTTTCCTGTGCAATATGAAGTTTCATTTCTACCTGGGAGAATGGGAGAAATGTTATAATATATGCATTCTCCTTTGCCTGAGGAAGGGCAAGTGGGCCCAAAAGCTTGCAAATAAAGAATTTTTTTTGCAACTATCTAGCTGGTCTAATAAAAAATATCACCTCTGCCAAGAGTTCTACATATGTTTTGGCTGTAGACTGGCATGGCTAAAACCTGCATCATTAAAAGAAAACTTGTATCTTTTTCCTCTTCCCTCTCTCATTCTATGGGCTCCAAAGCAAAATGCTTTCCCTCTGAATCTTCTTCCACAGTCTCCCTTAAAGCAGCAGACTGGGACTGAACTGATGCTGGCTCCTACAAGGGCAGAGCCAGCCAGCTGCCTCTCTCTAAACCTGCTCCCCCACAAGCAGCCTTTCCCTCCTTCATGAGCCTCTCCTCAGCTCCACTAGACGTTAGCTACGGAGGTGGTCCATGTGGGAGGTGTCACTTGTGGCATACAGCAGCAGAGGCTGCTCAAGCTGTGGTGTCTCTCAGCCCTGCTGCTTGGAGTACTGAGCAGTGAGCAAGAGCTGCAGCCTGGAGGGATGCACAGTTAAGCAGTGAGTGACCCATCCTCATGAAGCTCCCTCCCCAGCTTTTGGACAGGCTGCCGAGGGCAGGGCTTTGCATTCTCCATCCATCCTTTACCTGACAGCAGTGCAGCGCTGGGTTGCCTTCAGATGGAAACCTGGCCCCAGCCTCTATCCCACTCACTTAGGACTAGTCTCATGGAGTGGAAGAACACCTGGGTGTGTCTGCCTCAGAGCCAGTAAACTTTTGCTAAGTCAGATTAACCATGATTTCCATATTAACTCTGCTATAGGCCTTCAAATGCAGCAGAGTACTAAGACAGCACTGACAGGTAGGCAGACCCAGATCTGTCTACAGGCCTCTGCTTGTGAAACACCATCCTCCATGAGGGGTCCATCCTGCAGGGAGGTGGAGAACCTGCTCCAGATTCACCTCACCTTTGCAACCAGGTTGTTGGTAGCTGCTGTTCCCACGATGCCTGAATATTGATATTAGAACCCAACCTGGGCCTGGCCCCATTCAGCCCTAAATGAGCAAGGACTTGCTGCCTGAAAGGACTCCTCTCTCCCCTCTCTCAGGCATAATCAGTAGGGCTGCCAAACTAGAGACTCATTCAAGACAAGAACAAGGGGACAGATAAAAGGATGCTCTCCACAGTAGCTGCTCACTTTTGCAACTCACCCTGACTTCCCTATGCAGGAAGAGCAACAGTATATTGACTTTCAGCATGTGCTAGAAAGCCCTAATTGTGAGTGGCAGAGGGGAACTAGGGCAACTGCCACACGTGACTTCAATACACATACAGCTGCTGGTGACTATTAGTCCAAGAGAGTAAGTCTATTTTTATCATCTTATTAACCAGTGTCTGTTCCTTGTGATGGGAAGAAGGTTATTAATTGCATAAATGTAGAGAAGCCAAGGTGGGGGGAAGAATAGAGACTTCAGAGAGATAAAGAGAAGGAGACGGAAGCAAATATTGGAGAGCTTGAGCAACAACTACCTTTCTTGGCCACCTTCCTCCCTTCCTTAACTGAGCTGTATTTTTTAGTGGCTCTACGCGTGCTGGCAGGTTGCGGCACACAGCTTAGATGCACAGGAAGTCCAGTGGCTGACATCAGAATAGCCGCGATGCCTACAAGGGACACAAGACTGACTTGCAGGAAAGAAACAAATGTGGAAATACATTCATTTAGGGAAAAAAAGGAATAAAAATGTTCAAAGAAAAAAAAAATAAAACCTTGATTCCAAGAACTCAAAATCTTTGTAAAGCCAATTGACATGAAAGGTGATTTGGGGTTTGATTCAGCATGAGGATAGGGAGCTGGCAAATGCAGGGGCCTTTAGGGGACAGAGCTCAGGTGGCAAATTAAAGCAAAGGGCTATTTGCATATATCTGATAAAACAGCAGCTTGGGGTGGTATTTCATAGTACTCCAGACTGGGAATCCTTGGGGCATTTAGCACTAGACCATTCAGACCGTAGTGTTAGCTTTGCAAGGCGCATGGGATTCTCAACTCCAAACATCAGTGAAGGTTGACCAGGCTCAATGTCTTTAAGATATGGTGCTTAAACGGCAAGCTCCCAAGGCCCTGCTTTCAGCTATGCTGGTGTCAAATGAAGTAATTTGTTGATTTCAATGGAGACAACTGGACTATCCTGGTGAAAGAAGTGGCTTTGGCCCACTGTCATCCTCTAGATCCATTGCAGCCGCTGGCATGTTACCTGTGTTTGGACTTCAGCTCATTCAAGCACTTAAGCACATGCTTAACTTTAAGCACATGAGCATTCCCACTGGTTTCAATGGGATTACTCACATGAATAACTTTCACCAAAGCACTCAAGCACATGCTTAATCAGAGCCATATTAAAAACACAGCCTGTGGATGTATTTATTGGACACAGCTTTTACAATTATTTATTAAAAGGTCATTCATTCTCTAAAAGGCACAGAGAAAATGGCCTGTTTGGCTCTACTGAACAAACATGGCAACACTGCTCGCAACAGAGAAGTCAGAAAGATCCTAACATAACAAAGTGTCCCTAAAACAGATTCCAGAATACTCTTGTCTTCCTTTCCCCAATACAAAGAGAATGTAGCCTGACAGACACCAGTGAACAAGAACAGTGTTTCTCAGCCTGTAGGTCGTGACCCAAAGTGGGTCATAAGAATAACGTCAGTTCACAACCCTTTCATAGAAAAATGGATCAACAAACTTTAAAAATGGATTCCTCCTTTAAAGGAGGAAAATGTGGGAAATGGTGGCTTTTCCCTTGCAGGTTGGCAGAATTCCAGCCTGCGAGAGGTTGCTTGGGGCCCCCTATGTCCCACACATACCCCCCCTGCCTGACACACTGAGGGGAGGGGGCAGCAGGTCAGAAGGACAGGCACTGGCTCAGGACTGGCTATTTGCAAATGGGTCCTGGTACAAAAAGGGTTGAGAACCCCTGGACTAGAAGAACATTAAGTCTCCTAGTTGGTATTTCTCGGTATCATGTGCTGCTTTCCACATCTCTATTCAGATAAGGAAGGAAAGGAAGAAGATATAAGATATAAAAACAGATTCATTCTTTAACTAGTACAATAAAATACTAAACAGAAACACATACACATGCAACTGAAAACAGAATATTATGATGGGAATTGTCAAGTAATTGTAAGTATGGGCAGGGCTACCAGCTCCACCTAAAAGAGAATGGAATAAGAGGATTATGTCTACACAAGGTAGTGTAGGTGCTACCCAATCAGCATTGTCCCTTTACCAAGAGCAGCCTTTTGCACATCCATCGCAACAGCTGTGTTAATATAAATGATACAGTAGCTCTTTCAGCCCTTTCCTTCTACTTAGGGTATGGACTGATGAATACACACCCACATGTAATTTGTATTGGTTTTGTTGACTGATATAGATGATGCAGGGATCTGGAGTGGACACAAACAGTCATCCCTGGGTAGCTGCCCCACAGTAGACAGCACTTACTGTACCTCATTAGGTGGCAGGGGAGTAGGTATTAGCATGTTTATCTTCACCAAATTGTTACCCTTGGATGGACATATGATATCTAAATGGGCATAACTTACACTGGTTCCAGTTTTTCCTGTCTTTTAGGCTAAGTACAGACATTTGGGGCATTAGGGGGAGGTTGAATCAATTCAAAATGGCTTCCTGATACCAGGTAAGTTGGTATGTGGGGTGAGACACTAGCAGGGGGCTTGGGGGTCTGCCAGAGGATGGGGAGGAGACATGACCCATGAGGTATGGTTCGAGTCAGTGCGACCCACAGGAGGGCCTCGTGTGACCCACAGGTGGGGGGGGGGG